CCGTTCGACGCAACTCAACAACACAAGCCCCTGGCCTGTCAGTCGGTCGCACTATGACGCAGTAGAAGGCCGCGATTCTAGAAAGGGAGTGAGTGCGAGGTGGTGTTCAAATTGTTCAACAATAATCATCAACAATGACTACTCAACAACCCTGAGACGTAAGTTTCGCCCGCAACAACTTCCGCGAGCAAATCGCCACCGAATATCGAAAAAACGCGACAAAATCGCGATCGCATTTCGATGGGAATTGACGTTTCGAGCTGTTTCTTTGTTGTCGCGGAGTCAGGCTTCTATTCCGTTTTGCCCCCCCCTTATCCTCTCCTACGCACCACTAACTGCGTAATTACGCCCTGTCCATTGATCTTTGATCGTCGCGGATTATCCACACGCGTATCCACTGGGAAATCCCTTTTCTCGCGAACTGCAATTTCGCGAAATTTTTTCTTCCAGTTTTGTTCGTTTGTTTTCTTTTTCGGTCGATTTAAATCAATTGTTCGACGTGTCCCCTCCACTCAATGTTTATTTTCCATTCGTAATGAGGATTGGGTGAGCGTCTGGGGTTTATTTGTGTGGGTGAACAGCTGTACTTGGATATGAAGAGGATGACGGGAGCATCCATTGATTAATAAACGATAGCGCATTCTCTGTCGCTCGCGTTTTTTTTTTCTTGGGTTTAGGAACGCTTTGCACGGCTGATGCCTCTCAGGAGGGCAGGCGTAATTAATTCGTTGCATTTTCGGTGATGTGGGAGGGGGGGGGGGCGGGATGGGCGAGGAGGGGCTAATGAATCTGGGAAGGGAAAATGTACGTCAGTGTGTGTATGTGTGTGTGATGGTCTTTGTTTTCCTCGCGGTGACTTTTACGTAATTGTGAGGTATATTCTGCATAACATGACGTTTCGCGATTTTAAGTATTTTTGGATTGTTCGGTGATTGGGGTTTTTGTTTTGGTACGCGCGGGAGGGGATCTTTCGGGAAGTGTTGGGTAAAGGGAGGGGGGGGGGGGGTGTCAA